GGCCAGTGGCAGGGATGGACTTGTCATGCCGTGGATGTGGGCTTGGCCCTGGCAATGCCGGGCTACGTGCCCCAGCGTCACCCCCCTGGCATCTCCTCCCGCCTCTTCCCCAGACGTTCTGCACACGGGCAGCATGTGCTAAAGAGCCCCGGTGCCCGGGAGATGAACGAGCCTCAGAAAGCGCCTGGGCTGGCACGTCACCAGGAGCCAGGCGCATCTGTGTCACCTGAGCTGCGGGCACTGAACTGGCACCGAGGTGATGAGGAGGCCGTAGGGATCTGCTCAGAGTGGGGCCCTGGGACCTCCATTGTTCACACGGGCAGAACCCTGGTCCTCATAAGCCAATCTTCTCATGCAGTTAGTGAGCCACCATGAGACGGCTTRGCTGAAACCAAAATGCTCAGGGAGCTCATCAWYACAGCCAGATGGCCTGTCCCATGGKGGGCRCCTCCAGTGGCAGGACTCAYTGGCGGGGAGTGAAGACCCTGCTTCCCTCTAACTTCCACCATGGCTCCTGCTTCTCCCCACCCACCTCACAGGGCACCAGCAAAATCTCTCAGCGGCAGCCATGCGGCTCTGCAGGCTTCTCCTCTCCAGTCTCAACACACTCAGRTCTTCAACATCCACACCCCAACCCTCCCTGGGTCACCTCCCAGRGGGTCACTCCCTGTGTGAGGCTAGATCTGAGCCCCACACCCTGGGCAGACAAGAGAGGGACAGAGCCACCTTGCCTCCAGGTCAGACCCAGGACTCTGAAGGTGCCTGCATTTAGGTGTGAGAACTGAGGCTCCCAGGGGCTTGGTGACTCATGTCACAATGACAGTGTCATCCTCCCTGTTCAGCAACCAYGGATCAAGAAGACCAGAGAAAGGCAAAAGTTAAATTTAACCAGTTCCAACACCAGGGTGAGTTTTTACCCTGTAGCTTCCAATTCCCATTTCTGAGGCACAGTTCCTATTCCTGTCCCACGAGCATTGTTCCTCCAAAGTGTGGTCAGAGTGTCTTTTCAATTATATAAGTTATACACACTTTCCCATTTGTGAAACGGTTTTGGAGCCCGGTTTTGAATGAGTTAAGGGGTTCATCAAATTCCTTGAGTGGCTGCAGCCCCACCCGCCAGACCTCCACCATCTCTGGAAGCAAGGTGGCTTCCCAGATCAGGGGCACAGGCGGCTTGGGAGGTCCACAGAGTTTGGCTCGTAACATGTTTGGCTGTGTTCCCTGKGAGTGGGAGGGAGGCAGAAAGCCAGGCTCCCAGGGTACCCTGCCCCCATCAGGACCCACATCTTTGTTCCCCGCCCCCCTTGCCTGGCTCCTCAAGGCTGGGAGAAGCCGGCTCTTCCAGGTCGATCCCACAATTCTGCTCCCAGATGCCCAGAGCACTCCAGTCTGCGGAGCACCGTCCAGTTCCCAGGCTCCTGAGGCCCCTGCGCACACCCAGCCAGAGCCGTCTTCTGGCCCAGTGTTGGTAGCAACACTAGTAYGGCAGAGGATCAAGAGTGAGTCACGCTGGAGCTGGTCAGAAATGCACAGCGACTCTGTGCAGGTGGAGGTGGGGAATCTGCACGTGCTACACCCTGCACTGCCCCACAGTCAAGTCCACCCTGCGAGAGGCTCTGCCATGGAGGGCTTTAGGCTCCCAGCCTATTCTCCACCCTTAGGGGAAAGTGTCATTCCCTGTTGAGAATACATGGTATAGAAGAGGAAGGAATATTTATTTCAATTTGGGGGACAGAGGATGAGAGGCACAAAAGGAAAGGGGGCAAGGGAACCTGCCCAGGGTTTTGAAGGATGAGCAGGAGTTCGGCAAAACAGGGAAGGGACTCCATGTCGAGTCCGTTGCTAGGCTTCTTGAGCTCCTGTTTTCCTTTCAGACATTAGTCACTGTGTAGCCTGCCTCCAAGATCAGCCCCCATTGACCTTCACCTTCCTCTGTACCTTGGTACTTCTCTCTCATACTCTCAGCTAATTTGCATGATCAATAGAGTACAGCACAAATATAGGTATGCAACTTCCAGAGCCAGATCCTGAGAGACTTTGCCAGCTCTGGCTTGGTCTTTTGGATGACTTCATTTGGCAGAACTGCAGGAATTCGGCTGCCATGACTTGAGGATGCTCAAGCATCCTAGGGGGAGGCCCACAAGGAGAGGAACTGCCCTGGCGGCCATTTAAGTGCGCCATCTGGGCAACAGATCCTCCAGCCCCAGTTGAGCCTTCGGATGACACAGCCCCCAACCCTCTTCCGGCGGGGCCCGCACACACCACAGGGCAGACCCAAGTCACTCTGTGGGTCTGAATCCTGACATGCAGAAACAATGAAATAACAAATGATATTGCTGTTTGGAGCCACTACGTTTTGGGGTGATTTGCTACTTGGTAACAAATAACAAGCACAGTCTGTCTCCTAACCCACTTCCCTCTTGTTTCAAATCCTCTAGGGAAAGGCTTCTCTTACTCCTGCTGGGACCTGGTTACTTTGGCCAGTTTCCAACCTTCCCTGGTTCCTGCAGCTCCCCCAAGAAYTCTGAGAGGCAGACAGCTCCAAGAGAGGCTGAGAAGCAGGAAGCTCCTTCGATTCCTCTTTGGGTTGGGGGTTTACTGAGGAGTTTGGCCTCTCATGTCTAGAGAAAATGTCAATTTACAGATCCTTTTATCCCTGATCCTCTCATCCCTCCATGCCTCTCTCCATTTAGTAAAGTCTGTRAAAAGGTATCTCAGGCCTGGGCTCTGTCCTCAAAGATCTCACCACCCAGCCAGGGAGACGAGCATTTGTACACAAGCTCCCGCATAGACAAAACCCTATGAGAGGAACAAGAGAGGGACCTGGGGAACCAGGCTGTGCACATGCTCTGTTAGACATAAACAAGRGAGGAATACAAAGAATTTCTATGGGGCCCCTCTTTAGTGGTCTCCTAGTGGCAATCAGGAAAGGCTTCCTGGGGGAGGCATCATTTAAGCTGGATCTCAGAGCACAGATAGCACTGGCCACATTGGACAGAGGGAGAATGGGTTGTTTGGGGTGGTGGCAACAGTGTAAGAAAAGTGGAAATGCAAGAACAACCAGGAATGCTAAGTAACCACGGTATTCATGTTGGAGTAGCAGCAGATGGGCAGGGCTAACACCAATGAGAAGTTAACTATTATTAGTGCCTACTGCATGCCAGGCACAGTCCTAGTTACTTTCCATCTTTTAATGCCTACAAGACCTCTGTGAAATCAGCCTGCTTTCTCCCTTGATTGCACAGCGGAGGGGACCAAGGTCCAGGGCCTGGACTGACCACCAGGACTGTGCTCCTTGATGTTCAGGAACAGAGACCCAAGCWCAGAGAAGGTAAATGACTTATCTAAGACCTCACAGCAGTCTAGGGTATCTCCCAGGCTTAAAGTCAGGCTCCCACAGCACACAGAGCCATGCAGGCTCCCGGGTACTCGGTCAGGTTTGCATCCGGCACACCCTCTGCCGCAGCTTCTCCTCCACGGCTCCAGCTGCCCTCCACCCTCTTCTCCTTCAGCAGCCAGCACCGCGTCACCTGCCCTGGAAAGCTCCCTTGGTCTGGGCTGGCCTGGCTCCTGTGCCTCTTCACCCATCCCACTACCTGGCTGCTCACACCCCAGGCCTCTGTTCTGTGGACACACCAGGCTCTTCCCTCCGAGTCGCCTGCTGCGCGTGCTGTTCTACCTGCCGGGCAGGGAGTGCTCTTCTCCTGCTGGGCTCCTGCTCACCCTTCAGGTCTCAGCTCAAACGCCTCTTCTCTAACAGGCCTTTCCTGGTCGCTCCAAGGCAGTGACTGGATATCCCCCCTCCCCTGGTTTATTTCTATCATAGCCCAGTGTCCTTACATAGTCTGAAGGGCCAGACTAGCTGGGTTTAAGTCCTTGGGTGAATTGAGTCCTTGGGTGAATTACTTAGCCTTTCTGCGCCTCAGTTTCCTTCTCTATCAAACTAAGGACAATAATGATATCATCGAGCAGCTACAGGATTAAATGAGCTAATGTACATGAGGGCTCAGAACAGTGTCTGGCCCATAGTAGGCCTACAGATACGACCATTAGCTCTCAGTATTGGGACTTATTTATTTGCAGATTGCCCATCTTCCTCCTAGAATTTGGCTCTGAAATGCTGGGGACCGAGTCTGTCCTGTTCAGCACTATATCACCAGTACCCACCAGGATTCCAGGCATTAAGTAAGTTGCACAAAATATTGGTTGGTTCGTTGGATGAATGGATGGACTGATGGACGGGTGCTGGAGGCAAAGGGAGGGAAGCAGGGATGAAAGGATGATGGACGGGTGGTGGGTGGGTGCAGGGAGGGAGGGRGGGAGGAGGGATGGTTGGAGTAAATATGCGCCTGAGCCACCGCTCCCTCCTGGTAGTCGCATCTTCCTACACTCTTCTTTCCTGTTCCAAATACCAGCTGACGCTGGTGAATCTCACAGTGGACCATGCACTCACTAGTGAGCACTCGAYAGTGTTTAAAACCCGCAGTGTACAGAGTGGATGACTGGCCAGGAGCCCAGGAAAGCCTTAATTGAGGAGAAAGGCAGTCTTAGAGGACAAAAGAATTTCAGTGGGGAGGGAGGTTGCGCAGGGAGTGGTTAAGGGGCATCTGGTTTAGGGAATAGCGCAAACAAGCCTCTGCGGCCCGAAGGTCTGGGTTTCTATGTGAATGGCGAGGGCCCTTGATGGCACAGCGGAGAGGACCAAGGTCTGTGGGGAGCGGCAGGAGAGCACGTTGGACAGCAGGTGGGCTAAGGAGCTAGTGGTTAGCACCCAGGGTTTCCAACACAGGGTGGTGGCCTCGGGGCTGCCCTTTAAGGACCCACCGTGGAGGCCATGCTTGGTCAGGCCAGAGGATTAGACCAGGAGGCAGGGGCAGCAGGAGAGGGTCTGGGAGASCTAACAGGAGTGACTTGGGGACCACACCGAGCAAGAACCATCCCTGCAAAGGACTGGCGGCCACTAAGACAAACACCCCAACGGAAGCTGGCGGGGAGCTTACCTGCACCAGATTCCAGCCCTGGAGGGACTCGGCGATGATGGACGTGACAGACGGACAGACGCCTCCAAACACCATCAAATGATTTGGGCCGTATTTAATGGCGTCATAGAAGGCTTTCAATCCTTTGGCATTATCACACTGGAAAGCAACAGAGAAAGAGAGAGAGGCTCAAATTAGACACAGCTTTCCCCAGGGGCAGGAGCCCAACAGTGGAGTCACACAAGCCTTTCCTCATAGGAAATCTGCCAGCTTCAGTCCCTGCCCCCCCCATGAAGGGGCACTCTCAGTCACCCCCGAGCCCACACGTGGGTACAGGGAAGTGTGGTCTTGGCATCTCCTACCYTGGCTGCCCTCCCTAGAGCATCCTCCAAATCTAGGACTTTCCTTTTACTCTCCACCACCTCCCCTCTCAGCACACCAAGGAAAGGACCTCCTGGGGTCTGATATGCCTCACCCTGGGGTCTCCCCTTTCCATAACAGACACTTGCAAGTATTGACGAGGATGTGGAGAGTCTGGAACCCACATGCACCATGAGCAGGAATAATAAGAGAGTTCTACAGGAAAAAAAAAAAACCCAAAGTCAAAGCAGAATGAACMCAGGATCCAGCAATTCCACTTCTCTTTCCAGTGGAAGGAACCCAAAGCAGGGGCCCAGGAGACATCTGTACAMCCCCGTTCACAGCTGTATCAGTCACATCAGCCAAAAGTTGGAAACACCGAAAATATCCATCAACAGAAGAAAGGGTGAACACACCTCGGTCTACAACCAGGATGGAACATCATTCACCGAGAAGGAAGGAAATTCTAAAACACGCTACAACACGGATGAGCCTGGGAGACACTGCAACACGAAATAAGACACACAAGAGGGCACAKGCTGTAGGAGTCCTCTTATCTGAAGCACCTACAGGTGTCAAATTCAGAGAGACAGAAGGGAGGTTCCTGGGGCTGGGGGAGGAGGGCCATGGGAGATAGTGTTTGATAGACTCTGGGTTTCAGTTTGGGATGATGGTGACATTCTGGAGATAGAGGGAGGCCACACTGCCCAACAGTGTGAATGCATTTAACACCCCTGAGCTCTGCGCTTAAAGACAGCCATGTGGTGCGTTTTACATGATGGATGTTTTGCCACCATAGTAAAAAATAAATGAGAAAAGAAGATGATGGGGCATCTGAAGGGGCGAATCCACGGGGGCAAATGCATGCCCAGAGTGGCACCTCTGTGCTCAGCCCCAGGCTGGGTACTGCGGGAAAGCTGGACCCTGCCCCCGCCAAGGAGCGCACACACACAGGTATCAGAGAGGACCACTGGCTGCAGAGCACAAGGGGCAGACCAAAGAGGAAATGGAGGGACCAGGAATGTYTGCCGGCGTCTGGAGTCAGTCCCGGCTAACTTCCCACCTTCCCACTTCTACCCGGCTCATCCCAGCCATGGGGTCAGCCCTCTCCTAGGCAGGGCGCTAGCTCCTAACTGACCATCTAGCTTTCCCGTGGGCCCTGTGGAGCCCATCCGCCACCCAGCTGTCTGCAGGCACTCGCTAAACATAACTTAGTTGTTCTCACTTTCCTGCTTTCTGTGCATTTAAAACTCAAATTCCTGGACAAGGGTCAGCCCAGAGGAAGAGTGCTTGCCTACCATGTGCAAAGTCCCCCAGCACAGCAAACAGAAAAGAAGGAAAGAAATCACCCTGGAATTCCTATCAGAATGTAATTCTTGAAAGGTTAGGTTAAAAACAATGCTTGCCAGGCACTGTGGCGCATGCCTATAATCCCAGTGACGGGAGGCTGAGGCAGGAGGATCACAGGTTCAAGGTCAACCTCAGCAACTTAGTGAGGTCCTAAGTGACTTGGGAAGACCCTGTCTCAAAATAGAAAATAAAGGGACTGGGATGTGGCTCCGTGGTTGAGCACCCCTGGGTTCAATCCCTRGAACAAAACCAAAACAAAACATAGTTCTCATGAAAATCCAGAGTGTGCGCATGACACTGTTTTATTTAACTCATTAATAAGAAAGATGAAGTTGGTTTGAAAGAGAATTAAAAAAAAGGATTTTCACAATAAAATAGTAATAAGATTGCTAAATTAATATAAAAACAATTAATGTCCTACCAGGAAATAAAACTAACCATTAAGGACAGAGAAGAAAATCACTGCAAACCAGCACCTCTTATCAGTTGTAGAGAATTATAGGTCCTGGGCCTTAATCTACTGGGCCGGGTCTCACTCCTCCAGTCAGATGACTCGCAGGCAGGGCAGGAAGAACACGCTCCAGGTTAAATGGTTACACAGTCACATCTTTGCAATATTTTCAAGTTTTCTTAACATTCCTTGTCCTAAGAGAAGTCACAGGAGGCCAGCCCCTGCCTCCCACGCTGGCCCCGTTCTCTCTCCTCTCCTCCTCGCTCAACAAGTCAGGCCTCACCTGGCTCCTTGTTATGCCTTGAAATCAAAGGCCATTTCCTGCCTGCCTCTGGGCCGCGGCGCCTGCCGCTTTCTTTGGCAGGAACACTCTTTCCTTGCTTCTCCTCACTCAGGCCTCCCTACCCAATAGGGCTCCCGCCGAGTCACTCTCCAACACTGGCCTTATTTAATGTTCCAGCTTCATTCCTAAAATKATCTGCAGTCATTTGTCTATTTTTTGGTCACCTGCACGTTGGCTGATTTCCTTAACTAGAACGTAGGCCACCGCAGCGTAAGCCCCCCCCCCCTTGCCGGCTCCCTCGAGCTCAGCTTCCCAGGATTCAGGAGCTACCTGTTGGAGCCCCAACGGCTCCCTCATCTCTCTTAATTGTTTTTTTTTTTCCTGCTTCTTGTAAATACATTTCTTCTTTTTTAAAATTTTTTTTGGAAAATTTGTTCTAATTAGTTACACATGACAGCAGAATGCATTTTGACACAKTGTACACAAATGGCAATGGCGCCCAACCTCTCATTCCTCTGGCTGTAATGGTGCAGTCACTCCAGTCATATGATCATACCTGTATGTAGGGTAATAACGTTGGCTTCATACCACCATCCTCCCGACCTCCTCGCCCCCTCCCCTCCCCTCACTGCTTTCTGCCCAATCCCAAGTCCCTCCATTCTTCCCTACATTGCTGGTGGCACTGCAAATTGGTGCAACCCCTCTAGAAAGCAGTATGGAGAGTCCTCAGAAAACTTGGAATGGAACCACCACTTGACCCRGCTACCCCACTCCTTGGTTTATACCCAAAGGACTTAAAATCAGCTTACTACAGTGACACAGCCACATCAATGCTCATAGCAGTTCAATTCACAATAGCTGAAGTATGGAACCAACCCAGAAGCCCTTCAAGAGATGAGTGGATAAAGAAATTGGGGTACATATACTACTCAGCCTTAAAGAAGAATGAAGTGATGGCATTTGCAGGTAAATGGATGGAGCTGGAGAATATCATGCTAAGCAAAATAAGCCAATCCAAAAAAACCAAAGGCTGAATGTTTCTCTCCTTATTTTTGTCTTCTCGTCCATTCTGTGTCTTCTTCTTCCTTTCTGCTTGTCCCCACCCTCCCCTTGTGACTACAATCCGGGGTCAGAGCAAGCTGGTGTTGGTTTGCATTCAAACCTACCCCAGGCTGCCCCAACAGGGATGCTYACCAGGACACAGAAAYSAGTCCACCACCATTCCTGGCCTCAGACAGCTCCCTGTCTGCTGGGAGCCACACCCCAGGTCAGGACACAGGTGGCCACATCACATGASGGACAGCACACAGAGGCAGATGCAGGCCATGGCTCACCACGAGGGCCAGCCCGGGAGAACTCTGGGAGGGGCACTCTGGGAAGGGAGTCATGGGTGGAGGGGTGGCACTGAACAGAGGCAAGGAGGTGGGACAGGAATGGCCCTGCTGCCCTCAGCAGTGGGTGGACATGGTCAGGTGGCCATGGGAAGTGTAGGCAGGGTTCTGGACACAGGCTGGGGAGGTGGGACTACATCCTATAGACTATTGGGGGAAATTTCCATTTTTAAGATTTCCTCTAATTTTAAAATTGGTTATTGTTTTTATTTTGCTAATAAAGAAAGAGGAAGATAAAAGAAAGGAAGGAAAGAATGGAGGGAGGAAAGGCTGTTTCCACTGCAGGAATAGACACAATACAGCGGTYCATGTTTTAATTGTTTCTACCATGATTTACTGAATCATTTGTAGCTTTAATATCTTTCTGTAATGATTTTTGGCTTGTTTTCTGATCTAATGACAATCATGAGGACAGCACCACAAGATTCATAATCAAATCCTGCATTGAAATCCTATTAAGAACATTGAACTCATTAAGACGTGTTTGTTCAGCAAACACTTCCCGGATTTCCAGCCTGTCCGAGGTCCTGTGTTAGTAAGGGTGTCCTGGCTTCTCGAAAACACACTGGGCTACGTCAACTCAAAAAATCTCAAGATAAAGAAAAAAAAAAAAAGAAAGAAAGAAAGAAAGAAAAAATCTCAAGATATCTGACAACCAGTACCGGAGCTGGRAGAAGCTTTCCATACTCACCCGACTATCTATGGTGGGCAGTTTCAGCCCCCGTGACCATTGCTCGCTGGTGAGACTCCCATAAATGCTGTGTTTCCACAAAAGGGATTTTGCAAGTATGATGAAGGTTATTCATCAGCTGGCCTCAAATTATCATCCAGATGGGCCCAGTGCTGTTGCCCAGACCCTCAAAACCAGAGCTCTTTGGCTGGTAACGGAGAGGAAATCAGAGAGTCAAAGCCAAYATGGGTTTGACGAGCCAGTGTCGGTTTGAAGATGAAGAGTGCCAAGGAAAAGAAGACCTCAGACCTACACCTCCAAGGAACTGAGTTCTGCCAATACCACGAATGAGCAGGGAGAGAAGTTTTTCCCAGCTGAGACCCCAGGTCAGAACCCCGCCAGGAGACACCTCGAATTTGGCCTCATGAAGCCCTATGCAGAGAACCCAAGAGCCACACTGTGAGCAGTCTTCTGGCAGGAAACTGTGAGACAATAAACGGTGTCTGGTTTAAACTATCAAGTTTATCACAGTGACAGCAGCAATAGAAAAACCAATGTCCTCAGATAAAATGAGAAAAGTAAGAACAAAGTAGTGAGATTTCTTTACACTTAAATTTTAATCCTTTAGCCTTAATTTCTAGATAAGGCCCTTTG